GGCCCCGGGCCGCCGCCATGTCGAGCAGCGGCCGCAGCCCCCTGCCCACGGTCAGCGAGCGCGACGCCGAGCAGGTACCGGGGGCGCCGCGGGGGGGGGCGGCCTGGGACCCGCCGGGCAAGAGCCGTAGCGCTGTACTGGGACATGCTGGGGCACCGGGACATATTGGGACATCCTGGGCTTGGGGGGGAGGACTGGGACGTACTAGGATATACTGGGGGGGCAGAGCGCTGGGTGGGATATACTGGGGTGCAGGGGTGTCCCTCTGGTGCTGGACTGACAGGCACTGGGGTATACTGGGTTGGGGGAAGCCCAGCATTGGGCTGGGATGCACTGGGATATACTGGGCTGGGGGCTCCTAGTCTCTGTAGTGTTGGCCTGTGTGGGCTGGGAAGGACTGGTGGGGGGTGGGGAGGACTGCTGCAGAGGCTGGGATGTACTGGGATATACTGGGGTGCCACAAGGAACTTGGGGCTCTGTACTGGGGGGGGTCCTGTACCGCTATACTGGGCAGGGGGGCTCCCCAGAGCCCTGTACTAGGGCTCCCAGGGCACCTCTGGACTGCACTGGGAGACTGGGGCGGGGGGGCTCCCAGTAGCTCTGCACTGTGGTTCCCCATGCACTTGTGGTGGGTATACTGGAAGAGACTGGGGGGAGGGGACTTCTAATAGTGCTGTATTGGGGAGACTGGGAAGGACTGGGATATACTAGGGAGTTGCCGTGGAGGCAGAGATACAGTGGGGCAGGAGCTCCCAGGAGTGCTCTACTGGGGAGACTGGGACACACTGGGATATATCGAGGTGTGGAAGAACTTCCTGTAATACCGTACTGGGTAGACTGGGGCGTCCTGAGGCAGCAGAGGCCTTGTAGTGGTGGGGTTCCTGCTGTCGCTGTGCTGGGGCAACTGGCATGGCGGGGGCTCCCAGTAGCACTGGACTGTGGAGGTTGGGACATACTGGGATGGGAGGGCTTATAGTGAAGAGACTGGGATGTACTGGGGCCAGGGGCTGCTGGTGACAGGTCCCCTTGGGGGCATCACCACGTCCTGGCACTAGAGCTGGGCAGCTACACATGCTGTGGGCATGGGGGGGGCATTGCCCCTGCTTATGCTGTGGGAATGGTCTGGTTCAAGGAGGGGGAAACCCCAGTCCACATGAGGTCCCTATGGACTGGGGTTGTGGACTGGGAAGGGGGAGTGTGCGACTGGCAGGGGCTATGGGGCAGACTGCCCGTTGTGGGAGGCACAGCCTGTGGGGGCTGGGGTGTCCTGGGTTCCTGTGGTCTTGGTGTTCCTCCCTGCAAGTGCCCATCTGGGAGACTGCCCCACAGGCGCCCAGATATGGGGAGAACCGGGGGCGGGGGGTGCAGGTCCAGCACAGGAGGGCTCTGATGGGGGTAGCCTTGGGCCCCTGGCAGGCACAGGCCCTGGTACCCCCAAGGCACTTGCTGCAGTTATGAGGGGTCATGACCCTGTCCCCAGGGTCCTTGGAGCCCCAGCATCCTCCTCCTACCCTGGGAGGGGCGGTATCTGGGTGCCTCGACCTCACCTACCCCCCATCCTCATGGGTGGTGTGTGAAGGGGCCCTCAGCTTCCCTTATCCCCATGCCAGGCAGGTGCCCTGGAAAGGGAGGAGGTAATTTGCAAGTAAAATGTGGCTCATAATTAGCAGACCCCAGGGTGGGGGTGGGGGGCTCAGAGCCCTGGCATCAGCCAGGCCTGAACGCCTCCCTCCTCAACTGAGTTTGGAGGGGAAGCAAGGCGCTGGGCGTTACCGCCTACCAGGTGCCCCCTCCACCCCGGGGTTGAAAACAGGAAGTGATGCAATTGCGGTGCCCAGGCGTGGGGCCCAGATCCAGTGCCTCAAGCCACTCGGCTTTCTGCCTCCTGCCCCATCCAGTGCTATGCTTTCTGCCTTCTGTCCCCTGCCACATCCTTTGCTCTGCTTTCTGCCCCCTGCCCCTGCTGCTCTGCTTTCTGCCCTCTGCCCTATCCATTGCTCTGCCTTCTGCCCCCTGCACCATCCATTGCTCTGCCTTCTGCTCCCTGCCTTGGAGCCCTGTCAGGAGTCTCTGGGCTGGGTGTCGTTCCCCCCACGCACACTTTAACCCCCTTCAAGCTCCGTTTGTGGTTGGCACTGGGAGGAGCCCCAGGCTTTTGGGGACTCCCTTCAGGTCCCACGTATGCCTGTATGTGGGCTTGGGCACCTGGGTTCTCTGTGTGTGGGTGAGACTGGATGTGTGCATGCATTTGTGCGTGCACATGTGTGGGTGTCCCGGATGCCTAGGTTCTGTGCATGTGGGGGTGGAGGGTGTCCCGGACACCTGGGCCCTGTGTGTGGGTGCACAGGTGTCCCGGATGTGTGGGTTCTTTGTGTGTGTATCTGTGTCCCGGATGCCTGGGTCTGTGTGTTTGTGCGTGCGTGCACATCGCTGTTCTGGTGTCCTGAACACCTGTGTTCTATGTGTATGGGTATCCCCGATGCCTGGGTTCTGTGTGCATGCGTGTCCCTGTGTGCATGTCATAGTT